ATAAAAGAAATTAAGTAAGACCTATATCAGAAGGTTATCAGAAGAATGTTCATGTATCAGAAGATTCAATATGGTTAAGGCAGCGAAAAAGCAAATAAAATTAAAGGACTTTTGTGTTAATACAAAGACAAAACTCAATTTAAAAATAGGCAAAAGATTTTAACATATATTCACTAAAGATATACCAACTTCGAATAAGCACATGAAAAGATGTTCAACATCATTAGCCATTAAGGAAATGTAAATTAGGACTATAACGAGATACCACTATACACTTACTAGAATGACTAAAATGAAGGCTGACAATATTACTAAATGTTGGTGAGGATTCAGAGAAACTAGAACCCTAAGACAGAGCTTTGAAAAATATTTTAGCAGTTTCTTATAAGATCATACTTTTATGATGCTGTCTACAGAAACAAAAACATTATGTCCATAAAAGACTTGTATTATAATGTTTAGAACAACTTTATTCATAATAGGCAAAATGTGGAAATAACATCACGGGCATAACCTGGTGAACAGATAATTTCTGATATTCTAAACAACAGAATGCTACTCATCAATAAAAATGGTGCAACTACTCATACATACAATATGGGTGAATCTTAAAAGCATTATGCTAAGTGCAAAAAGCCAGACACAAAAGACTTGAAGCTTTGTGTATATAATTTCATTTTTATGAACTTCTAGGAAAGACAAAACTGGAGACTGGTGGTTGCCAGAGAGTTTGGGAGGAGGTTTACTGCAAACGGTTATAAGAGTAATTTTTATGGCATATCATAACTGTGGTGGTGGTTACATGACTATAAACGTGTCAAAACTCATCAAACCGTACAACTAGAGCTGTTGAGTTTTACTCTATGTAAATTATATCTCAAACTGATTACAAAAAAAGAAGTGATGGATTCACATGTTATTATATCTCACAATTACAAAAAGAACCTTAAAACATGCATTCTAAAGTTTTAAACTCAAGCATTTACTAAACAATACACAAATTAACACCAATTAAGATTTGAGGCAGGTTACAGGAGGAAATATACAATGGGGATTGTTTTCATCACTTACTAATTCATCTTCAAACTCAATAAAACCTGAGACTAGGCAGAACCTATCCAAATCTATAACAGAAAGAATCAAATAACAAAGTACTACATGTTTAGACAAGTCACAATGATGTTAGCTATAAAATGTATTCTCTCGATGTGGTTCATAATGCATTACAGTGAATTTTTAATTATTTGAAAACTTATTTTTTCAAATTATTACTTTCTAAAACATATACTCTTGGTAATAAAGTTATATAGTTTTCAGCAACACAGGTTGCGGTAAATTACTCACAGACACTGAAGAAAGATGTAAGGTAAGAATCAAAATTCTGGTGTATGTTCTGCTTTCAGATGCTTTGACAATACTATTGCACTGCTAGCTGTAAAGTACAGTAGTGCAATAAAGTCAGAGCATTCGTTAGCAGTAATAGGTAGGAAGGACATAAAAGCATCTTGCATCAGTTGAAGCTTCAGTGTGAGAAGAGTACAAAGAAGGGTTGCCACTTTGGACAGAAGACATCCAAAACCTAAGAACATTTATATCAATGTTAAAAAAAAAAAAGACTAAGATTTAAATATCAAAGTGGTATTTTTAATGACTAACCTATGATTAATACTCAAACTGAAACATGCACAGATATAGAAAGGGATTTTGTAAATAAGTCATAAGCTATATAAGTTATTAACATGGGTGTTGTTAATACCTTAGAACCGGTATTAACAGAACAGCTTATAATTACCACTAAGGCAAAGTTGTGAAAATATTTCTGCTCTGCTGAGAGGTGTTTGTTAGTGCCCCCATAGCAATTGACTGATGAACTGCCACACAAAACAATAAGATTACCAAAGAAAACAAATGAAAAGTAAAATAAGTTTCCCAATTTCCATAAACCCAACCTATCTCTCTGGAATCTAAACTACAATACAAAAAGGATTTACCTATCTCAAGAGTTTACAGACTTTCAGGAAATCAATATGTCATAAACAGGATACTGTTAGCACTAATTAACTGAATGCTATGAAAGGGGATTTTAAAATTTCAGTTAACCCCTGAAACATCTTAAATATAAGATTTCCTTCAAGCTGAGAAAAATCAAAGAGAAAATAATAATGGGAGGAGAAGACTCTTGAGATTTAAGAATCAGATTTCCTTGGATTCAAGCCAATTAACATCCTAACCTTTTAAATGGTAAGAAACCATTCTGAAGTCAGATGTCCACCCAGAAATAGGATAATATCATAGTATTATACTACCTTTTGTGCATAATCACTACCTTATCACAAAAGAAGGACACTAGACAAATAACACTAAAGCAAAAAGTGAAGTGAAGAGAAAAAAGTTAGAGAACAAAGATTACCCTACAATGAGCTTATTCCTCCATTAATAATGAGGATTGATGCAAAAACACTTTCCGTTATTTTTACCAACCTTCCCTTAAGTGATCCAGGTCAGCTACTTGGTTGGATTGAGCCTAAGAAATGAACATAAATTCAGGACAGCTGGAACATGAGTGTCTTGACCTCAAATCCTAGGTCACATATCTCAGATATTAGAGTATTTCAACTCTGCTATCCAAGAGTCAGGCTTTTAAAACAGATATTTAAAAACAAATGTTTAATTTTCTGAATCAGGAGTTAAAACCCCTGGGGGGAAAAAAAAAGATGAGGGTATTTGTCTAAAAAATTAAGTACTTCTTTTTCAAAGTTAGATAATATGTATTCTATTTCATTTATTAAACAGTCAACATTGATTCCTCAACAAATCCATTATAAAACCAAAAATCAGAAATCACACAGGAAATCATTTATCTTTGGAATCTTAGAAAATAAACCATTCACAGATAAAACATTTTTTTCTAAAAGCACATGGCAAATCTAAAGATGAGCTATCCTATTTTATACTACCCAATCAATACAAAGCAATAATAATACAACTATAATAGTTCAAATACAATTTTTAAACAATTTTGTTTCCGTCATTATGGAAACAAAGAATTTGAACAGCAAAAAAGTTATGACTCAGTTAAAAGGAATTCAAGAAGACTTGCTTTCTTCTCTCTCTCTCTCAGAAAAAGAACTTTTAAAAACTACCTCATCAAAAAATAAATAAAAACTACCTCATCATTCAATCATCTAAAAGTTTAAATTAAGAGTCTGGTTACCTTAAAAAAAAAAAAAAAGAGTCTGGTTACCTCAGTTTTCTAAAACCTATTTTTTTCCCAAGATGTACACGTCATTGTTTTCCCCTTAAAATAAAATGTGTTCAATCTAAACCATGTCCTGTGAGACTATTGACTCTAATGCAAAGTCAGAAAAGACTTCATTGGTACCTCAAAATTAAAAGCCAACTTGAAGGGGAAAAAAAGTGTTAAAAGTACAATTAGTATCACTTATAGCACCTTACAATTAGGCAGAAATATCCATCTGGAGGTAGGAATTCATAATGGAGGGAAAAACTAGGATTTTTTTAAAAGACCGTTAACAATAAGAATAACAAACTTTTAACTAAAAGTTCATTTATTACAGATTTGGAAAGCTGTATTAAATTCTACCTTCTTTGCTGCCAGTTCTCGCCTTCCCAATTTCCACACACACCCCACAAAGAAAATCAAAATTGAAAACGTTAGAAGCAAATGAAAGCCGGTTTTGTATAATATATTAATTAGAGGCACTTCAATTCATTAATACATAAGAAGAAAACGATAATAAGATCTATCAAGGTCTCGCATTTTCTGGAGGTGGGAATGGGGGTGAGGATCGTAGTTTTTCTTCAAAGACCACTACACGTTGCAGATATTAAGGAGACCCAAGGTTGAGCTCGAGGAGGGGAGCACAGGTACAAACGATACTTTAGGAGTAACCCCAGGGAATGGCAGGGAGACGAGGAGCGGACTGTGATGGAGATTTTGGCTTTTTTACTTAACCTTGTTATTTTTAACAACAACAACAAAAAAACGAACAGGAGATCAATCAATGATGGGTGCGTCCTCCAAATTCCACATTTTAAAGGAAAGCAGTCCAATCCGAACACTCGTAATGCAGTGGGGGGTGGGGGGTAGACAGAACAAGGGAACTAAGGAAAAAGCGCGGGCGATCAAGCCCCTAGTGAACGAACGGGAGGGAGAGAATAAAGAGGACAAGTGAGGGAAGGATCCAAAAGAAAAAACTAGGACAAGCCCTCCAGTTTGGCGCCCTCGAACAAGCCTAGCAGCAGCGGGAGTCCTTTCCAATTATTCGCCCCCGCCCCCTACGTTCAATGAATGAAGAAGCTAGGCAACTCCAGAGCACCGGTGTAATCCACATCCCAAGCCCGCCCGCGTTCCTGCAAAGGAGCTCGTGGTTCAGATTCCCAAGGCTCACACTTTTCCCCCACCGAAGGGCCAAACTGGTCTAGGAGCTTCTTCAGCCGCCAAGAAGTTGTGCACGCAACTAGAGAGCATCCTTTCTCAGACTTGTTCAGCCTGCTGCGGGCTGAACGTGAACGCTTCAGCCCTAAAGGGATTTCTCTCCGCCCCTCTCGGTGTATTTCCCACCCCACCCTCTATCCCCGCTTTCTCGGAGGGTGAACGACCTCTCCCCTTCTAGGGGCCTTTAGAGACCATTTTTGTCAGGTCTTTTCGGTGGAAATACACAGAACGCTGTCTGCATAAACCACAGCTCCTTGAGGGGCGCAAAGCTGAGGGCAAGGAACAAGGAATTCCAAAGGCCCCGCACCCTCAGCATCTCCCGCCATTTCCCTCACGAGTTTCCCGGATGTAACCCCTTCCCTCGCGGCGGTTAAAAAGAGACCAGGCGGCGGCGACTCCCTTTGGTGCAGGAGGAGGGAGCTCGAGCCTTAGTCCAGCCTCCTCCGCCCAGGGTTTCCGGCGACTACAAATCGCGTTCCAACTTGGAGGCCATCGGGGAAAAAATAAACGACCCAGTAGATCTCCTTCACTTCACACTCACCATCAGTTCCAGCTTATCGACCTCCGCCTCCATGTTGAATAGTTGACATTCCTCAGACCGCGGCGGCGCTTAAGCCGCAAACCGTACCAGCACTGAGGGTCCCTATTGGACAGCTGTCATTCAACGTCTCGTTCTCATTGGTCCCGCCGCTTCACCGGCGCCCGCCCATTGGAGGCTGGGAAACGCCCCTCCTAATGAAACACCTTTTCCTGTTGGGCAAGGACACAAAACGCCGCAGGAGGATTGGCTCCTGCACCTTTTTCTTTCCCATTGGCTGCGGCCGTATCTCGGCGTTTAATTTCACAGCGAGGGTTCTGCAGAAGGAAGCTTGCGATTGGTGCAGTCGGAAGAAGAGCCAACCAATTACGCAAAAGCTTCCACAAGCAGCAAAGGGGACGTGACACGCCTTTCCTCTCTGACTTCCCCTCCACTTCACTCCCGCCTTCCCCTTATTCATACAAGAAGCGCCTCATTCCTGATTGGTCCGAGCTTCGTGCTGCTTCAGCCAATCACAAGCCAAACTGTGCTCCCGGCACTACATAGAGAGCGAATTGTGGAAAGACCAAGGCTACGATTGGTCCCTTCGCGATAAGGTTTTAATTTTGAATTTTCCTTTATGGCAAGGGAGAGGCCTCTGACGTGACTCCATCGTATCCCCGGACTCTTAAGACTAGTAAGTGCGGGGTTATCTTCCTACGTTACCTGGGCTCGCTTCTCCTGCAGCTAGGTCTGTTGCTGCTGGCGTTCGTAACGGTTTGCAAAGGTGAGAACTTTGGCTGGACTTGGAGACAAGATGAATCGGAAAAGAGGGTTAAGGCTGGGTAAGAAGTCCTCCACCTGGCTCGGCTCTTAATCATAGTTATATTTAATTAACGCTCTGCAAAAATATGTTTTGGAGCAAAGAATCCGCCTTCCTTTTGCACATTCCTGTGCTTGTATTTGCTGCTCAGACTGTGGTTCGTGGACCAACTGCATATGCATCACTTTGGTTCTTATTTAAAATGCAGATTATCTGGCTCCACCCAGACCTACTGAATCAGAATATACATTTTAACAAGACCCCCGATTCCTATGCACTTTGAGAAAGTACATTTTTTGACAAGGAGTAATACGATGTTCCTCGATATAGTCAATATCGCCCTATGTTCTGTGAGAGTATCGGTTGTTTTATATGTGCCTAGTACTATGCTGGGCTCAGTTTTAGGGAGCCGCATCCTCTTTAGAAAAACAAGACTGGAGCTAACAAATAGCAATGCTGCACAACATAAAATGTAAATTTAAATATAAGCAAGTACCAAAAATAGCCCTGTGGATTCTCAAGAGCAATCAATTGGACTGATAATGGAAAGTGATTGACTAAAAGTTGTTTGTGGGAGTGTAAACACATTTTTCCTTTAAAATGTGTTTTAGGAAGATGTTAAAGAAACGCAATTGTCATTTTTAAACCGAACGAAGGGCTTCGGTGTCTGCAGCGCAGAAAGCCAAACTCTGACTGGGGGAGTTTGCCGCAAAGTAAGGGCTTTATTGTAAGGAGCCAAGCATGGAAGTGGGAGATAAGTCTCAGATTCACTCCAACTTGGTCTCTGAGTTCTGAGTTTTTAAAGGGGAAGAACAAAGGAGCTGAGATTAATCATCTTAATTGTCTGCAGTCTAGGGGTCTTTAATCCAGTGGTCTGTGGACCCTGGGGTCTGTATCAATACAATCTGTAAAAGTCATTTTACCCTGGAAGATAATTCAGAACTGCAGATGAACAGGGGTGTTTATCTAAAAGTTGTGCCTCGAGGAACCTGGCTTTCATTACTTATTGTTGGGCTAGACCAAAAGAGAAACAAGAAAAAGAACGAAAAAACGGGCATTCGTTTTCATTATAAATTAGACATAGGACTTGATTTCAATTTCCTTTGCTGCTGTGCTTTAAAAGTACCCCTAGACCAAAAGCATTTTTTGGTATCACAGGGTGGAGTTTTAGTAGCAGTGCCTGCTCTTGTGGCAGAGAAGGCAATGTCACTCCAGTACTCTTGCCTTGAAAATAGCAGAGACAGCGGAGCCTGGAGGGCTGCCGTCTATGGGGTCGCACAGAGTCGGACCCGACTGAGACTTAGCAGCAGCAGCAGCCGCTCTTGTGGAAGAGCGTAATTCTCTCTCTACTACTGATTCCATCGTTGTACTGGAAATACTTTTGGACCCATCCTTTAACCATATGAAGGTGTGGTATGATTTGAAGAACTAAAAAACCCCTTCACCAAGAGATTTTTCAGAATTGTATTAAAGTATATTCTTAATCAAAATAGAGAACACTTGCTAGATAACACTTAGCAGGAATGAGTTCTTCCATTTATTGAATGAAACATTACTTAATGCCTGCTGTCCTTTAAATCCTGAGGAAAGAGGTGAATAAAATTTATCCTACCCTCGAAATATCTCACAGTCCAGTAGGGTGACAAATGTGTAAGCAAAAACTACAATGCTATGTAATAAATGTCACAATAAGGGTGTGTAAAAAGGAATGCTATGGAGGCACAAAAGAGATGATGTAAACATTCAATAAACATTCCATAAGGACAGGCTATGTTGGTCTTCCTCACAATTGTATCCCCTACCTACCATAGTACCTAGTGGATCATGAACAGTCATATATCATGCACCTAGATACACCAACTGTTATTTTTCTGTATGGGGGGTGTGTGTAATATATAAAAATCACATAAATTATATATAAATACATGGTTAGATGGGGCTTCCCAGGTGGCACTAATGGTAAAGAACCTGCCTGCCAATGCAGGAGACATAAAAGAAGCAGGTTTGATCCCTGGGTCAGGAAGATCTCCTGGAGGAGGGCATGGCAACCCACTCCAGTATTCTTGCCTGCAGAATCCCATGGACAGAGAAGCCTGGCAGGCTACAGTTCATAGGGTCGAAAAGAGTTGGACACAACTGAAGCGGCTTAACACACATGCACGTGGTTATATATATATATATTGTATAGTATACATTATACATGACACATATACCCCTCTAAAGAGAAATAGCTAACCAATAACAATTGGTGAATCTCTGTGAGTGATACGAATGTTAATTATGCTGTTCTTATAAATTTTCTCGAGGTTTGAAATTTTTCAAAGTTAAGAGCAGAGGAGGGCTTCCCAGATGGCTCCGTGGTAAAGAATCCAGCTGCCAATGCAGGAGACGCGGGTTCAGTCTCTAATTGGGAAGAACCCACATGCCAAGGAGCAGCTGAGTCCGTGCGCCGCAACTATTGAGCCTGTGCTCTCGAGCCTGGGCGCGGCAACTACTGAGCATGCGCGCTGCCACCACTGAAGCCCATGTGCCTAGAACCTGTGGTTTGCCGCAAGAGAAGGCACCGCAGGGAGCAGCCCTCACGCTCAGCTCAGGAGTAGACCCCGCTCTCTGTAACTAGAGAAAAGCCTATGCAGCAGCAAAGACCCAGGACAGGCAAGAAAAAAGAGTAGGGGAAAACAGACTCTATCAGAAGACAAAAGCAAGGGAGAGCCCAGGGAAAAATAGTGATGTCAACTGAAGACAAAAGACAGAAAGCGGAGTGATGGTAAGGAGAAGGGACAGGATGACTTAGAGAAATATTTCTGATTCGTGTATATGAATACTTTTTTTAATATAGTCTATTCTGTAATGCAATATTCTTATTTCCTCACTTTTTTTTTTATCATGTTGTGGTACAGGTCTTTTTCTTTTTAATTAATTTAATTCTAAATCTTTTTAATTTAATTTAATTAAAATTCTTTTCAAAGCAAAGTAAGTAAATTGGAAGTGTATTTTTCAATTTAAAAAAAAAAAGAAAAATGCTTTGAGTCATCATGAAAGAATGAGTTTCTATCTAGTGTTAACAGTTGGAATCCCACCTAATCTATCGAAAAGAATTTGTAAGTCTCATTACTCTTTTGGAAAGGGGACAGTACATGTCTCATCTAGATAAAGATTGCTATATACTCTATTAATTGAACAGTTATCCTCGACAAGAGTATCTAAAGCTTTTAATAAAGCTAAGGTTGCTTTATCCTTAGCTTGCTGAATCCTCTGTCCTATCTGAGGTGAGAATTCATCATCTTTTAATTTTGGAAGAGCTATGATTATTTTTTAATATAATGTTGATCTAGAAAATATCTCAGACTGCATCTTTCTATCCTGACAGATAAGACATATTCTTTTAATTCTCTACTTGTGTCAATTACTATATTTAATTAGAAGGCTGTTAGATAGTAATAATGACCCAGGTCCCAGGACACACACATACAGAAGAGATAAGAGAAAATATTGTTTCATTCCTAGATTTTTTTCATTAAAAAATAATTTGCCAAATGATATACATTGGAATATGTAGAATTCTTTAGAAATCTGAATGCATAGGCACTGGAACAACCACCAGGAAATGGCTAGAAAGAGAAATACCACTTTCAGAAAGGTGGTATTTTTCCAGCTAATAGTATATGCCAAAGGGGAACTGGCCAATACTACTTCAAGGCTTATTAGAAATAAACACACAAACAAGAAATGCTAGTCCTCTGAGTCCTCTGTCTATAATCTTGGTTCCCATTTGCCCAAAGGCAACATTATCCACTTTCCTGATTGTTTTCTGGTGTTTACCTCCATGTTTCTAAGTAATATATTTATAATATTCTACTGTTTCTTTTTTTCTCCCAAGGTTAAAGTCTGTATAAATTTAGAGAACTACTAATTTCTACTTTCTTCTGTCTTCACAGTACACCTGTGTCATAATTTTTGGCTGTCATTTGTGTCAAGAGTGTTCTGCCTATGTGTTCCTCTAAGAGTTTTATGGTGTCCTGTGTCATAATTTTTAATTAAATAAATACTCAATGTTGATACTATAAAATATTGTGTAACAGCTGATCATTACATGTTAACTATGATTTCATTTAATTTCTTATACAACTTTTTCCTAGACATTGTTTATATATTTATTTTTTTAAGCACTTCTCAGTAACCTGGACTGAACTTTACAGAAAAATAATAAACTCCACTCAGAATATTCAAATTTGCACTAGGTAATTTATCTATTTCCTTTGTTTTTCTGCTGAAGCCCTCTGTTACACTTTCTTATTTCACTGGCTAAGTAAAGGGTCAGTCAATTACTATTTTTATAGGTCTCATGAGCTAAGAATGGTTTTTGCAATTTGTAGTAGGTGGGAAAAAAATCAAAAGAAGAATAATACTTTGTGACTTATGAAAACTCTATGAAATTCAAATTTCAGTAGTCATAAATAACATTTATTGGATTAAAACCACAGTCATTGTCTATGGCTGTTTTGATGCAGAGTTGAGTGGTTGTAGCAGAGACCAGATGGCTTGTAAAGCCTAAAACATTTATTATCTAGCCCTTCATAGGAAAGGTTCAAAGAAAAATGCTTTGAGTCATCATGAAAGAATGAGTTTCTATCTAGTGTTAACAGTTGGAATCCCACCTAATCTATCGAAAAGAATTTGTAAGTCTCATTACTCTTTTGGAAAGGGGACAGTACATGTCTCATCTAGATAAAGATTGCTATATACTCTATTAATTGAACAGTTATCCTCTACAGAGTATCTAAAGCTTTTAATAAAGCTAAGGTTGCTTTATCCTTAGCTTGCTGAATCCTCTGTCCTATCTGAGGTGAGAATTCATTATCTTTTAATTTTGG